GTATTTTGTATGAAGTGATTTGGGGAAAAAATGTGTTTTCAAATTTTCCTGTGCAATTGTAAGAATGTTGATAATTTTGATATAGACATTTCAAAGGTGCATATGTTTAAAATATGTAACAATAAATCTTCAGGGGACACTTGCTATTGTAGATGTATAAAGTAGTCTTAATCCTGGGGAATATAACATTGATATCACTGTAGTTTGATGTCCATGAAATCTGCAGTGTCAATCTACCATAAATACACCAACTTGTAGAAGATACTTGTACTTATACCTTGTGGGTTAGCGCATTTTACATTGATTTGTATAGTTGTAAACATCCAAAATGACGTGAAAAAACTATTGCATGTAATTATGGTGTATGTGATCGTGTATATTAACTTAAAACTTGTAGATTACCAGATGCAGTGATTATCAACCAGAATTACAGCATGCATTTACAACTATACTTAATAGTTGTAGCTATAACGGTCAACTTGGATGTCTATTTCTGTACCTATATATATAAAAAAAGAAAAAAAAAATGCTGTCAACTTCTACCTTTACCCTCGGGGCTACCTAGTTGTATGTACCTCTTCTGCAGTTTTGGGGAAATTGTGGGCCACATTTGTACATAGTTGTATATCCCGTTGAATTGTGAATGGTACTCACCGCTAGCCAGTTTGTTGGGGAGTCAATACCTTGTACCCTGAGCCTGGGGGTCGCCTTAGCTTCACTAAAAAGAGTTTTTTGTACTTTCTATAATGGGATCACGTAAAGTGTAGTTGAGGATTTCAGTGGTGACTGGAAGTTAGACCTCACAAAAAACATGACAATGGCTTTCTTTCTCTTTTTAAACTTTGCATTTGACATGATTGTTCACTATATTATTTTCATAAATATCAGATCTTATGATATTAACAATATTATTACTGTCATAATTATTATTACCATATGTGTTGTTTTTTTCTTTTATCATTTGTGCTTTCAATGTATTATTATTACTGTTATTATTTCAGTATTGGTATGTGCATACTCACTCTGTAATTGATATATATGGAAAATATGTACTTTTTCAATCAATCAAGAAAGACAATGCGACAACAGTCCCATCAAACAATCCCGGGCGATGAGGTCTGCAATGATTGTATTTTTTATGAAATATTTGTTTCTAAAAACCATCAAAACAAGCTGCTACACACATGCTCCCAGAGGGACAAAGAGACTTACCAGTTTTGCAGTTTTTAGGACAAAAGAATTTTATGTTCTATTGTTTAGAATTTAATGGTTACTGTATATTTTTTCTTCTTCCCTGAGCTGATTACGGCTGTACCTCCTGTCATCTGTTCTGAAAATAAATTTGAAATGTTATTAACTTTGTCTTTGATTTGTATAATTCATTAAAAAAGTAATGTTTGGGAAATTATATTCAGGGTAGTTATAATAATAGAGTATATTAATAAGCTTGAGAAAAGGAAAGAATGAATGTTTAAAAATGTAAATTTATCATTGCTCCACTATTTTCTTATAATTATCGCAATTGCTTAGTTAATTAAGGTGGAGCAGTAGTACTTTGATCACATTAGTCTGGTGATGCTTTCTTTTGGTTTATTCTTTAGACTTGTTCAAGAATACATCAAATTCACTTGGAACAAATACACTTGGTGGAATGGATCATGAAACACACTTATTTGCCACCACTTAAATAATGTGATAATGCTTATTAATATTTATTAATTATTAATGATAATGATAACTCGGTATTGACACTGGCACAGATACATGAGGCTATTACTGAGTGAGAGGGAGAGCGACTGGTTTCTAAAGTTTGAGAAGAATTCTTCAAAAATGAAAAATGAGTCGCCTGATTACTCTGTTGGTTTCCAATAAGACACTGAAGTTCTCTTTAGAATGTATTAAAAATTAATGGAAGCAATTAATGCCAAGTTGACTTAATTTTCTTACAAATGAGATGAAATTTCACATTTTAATTGGCGACTTCAGAATCAATAGCATAAAATCAATATATTTTGCATAACATCCATAGCAATAAGTAAAAAACGCTTTTTATAAATGTCGACAAATATGTTAAGACATAATTGTATCGGTAATAT